TCAAAGACAACCCCCTTGGATTGCTGTTCATTCTAGATCTTTGTGCCTGTTGGTTGGTTTGAAATTTTCCCAAAAAACATCACAGATAATGTTATAACCGTTCTTGAATTTCTAAAATAAAATATACATAATTTGGAGAGAGTTTTCACATTTATTTTAAACACAAACCATAATGCTACTAATTGATAAAAATGGTAAATGTGTTTTATTAGAAATGTCATCTTGGTATGGTATCCAGAAAGTCCAACATACTTATTACCTTGTAGATGTTCATTGACGATATATACTGTTGTAGCCCTGTTTTGGGGGGGGTTATGTGAAATGGCCCACACCAAACAAGCTATGGCGCTAACCTGTATATGAGTAGGCAATCCTGAGCCTTCGCTATATGGAAGAGGGGGTTGTGATAATACAAATGGCAGTGCCTCCACCTAGAATAGGGATCCTGCAATTGAGGAGACTCACCCCTTTCTAGGATTGTAACAGGTAGACAACTTAAAGTAACTATACATAGCAGTAATAATGCACCCAACTTATATTTCTAACATGAAAACATGTCACCAAACCTGTATGAGATTAATGCAAAGTTTATATAAAGCAGCCACATAAAACAGGATGCATAAGAATAACATTCAGGAATTACAATTTAGCATAAATTGGGAGGTTGCAATTATACCCGGGTATATGTGCATGTAGTATACAGAATACCTCCAACCATGGGTTATAGCGCAGTCCGGTTGCAGGGGCCGCTGGAGAGGTGAGAGTCAATAAGATGCACGCTTCCACTTTAGATGCTGTGATGGCGTCCAAGTAACATGCGGATGATTGCACTGCTTGTCTGAAGATCAGCGATGCATCACCTAAAAGGATAAAATGCTCTATCTAGCCTTACTCTTAGTCCCTATCCCTAAACTGGGCTGTCACTGCAACCGGGCCTCTATCTGTCTAAGTTGGCCGTCGGATGCCTAACCTACCTCTAGCCTAATCTTATCCAACGCTCCCTATGCTAATCCTAGCTAAAGGGAGATCCAGACCAATAAGGCTCTTCAAGCAAAGAGGCTGCAAAGATACATTGCAATTAACAGAAAGTTCACCTGACAGTCTTATGCAGGTGAAAACACTGATCTATATATATATATAGACAACTATAAGGATTCTGCAGTGTGTAAATAGAATAATGATAATGAACCACAAATCTCTCTCTTACAGAGGTATTAGGGTTCCTATACAGAAGTTGAAATATAACAGAGGCAGACCTAATCTGCTTCAGTAACAACTAAATAGATAGCAGCCTTGTTAATCTGGATCATTACTCACAGAATCCCCATACAGTTCTCCCCAGATACATAGCACATGGCAGGCTGGTACCCTCTGCCTGATACTTCCTGGAAAACAAAACTATATAACATCCTGGGGTTTCTTGACCTCCTTGTAGGGGCAGGAAGCACACCTAGGGCCTTGTCTGTAATGGGACCTCTATGGTAGTGGCTGTATATGGATGTAAACAAACCACAACTAGTGTATAAAATAACAGTTCCCTACACTGTATATACTGTAGATAATAACATACATGTAATTGGTGACTGGTGGGCCTGCTCCAATTTAGTAAAAGATATTTAACATTGAGTATTAGCCCATCTCTCAGAGATTTTCCAACTAATGTGTAATAATATGTCTTATGGTCAGAGCTGTTTCCGAAAGGAAATCTATCTTGTGAAAGACTTGAAGACTGGCATTAGCGAATCTTCATTGCTGCAAATATCTGTCCTCTGACTTTCAGTTCTTCAAGCTACTCACCTAGAATATGTAAACAGATTAAGAATTCCTACTTTTATGATACAATATTCATTCTAGGTAAGTGACTTTAAAAACACTGAAACCAGAGTGTCAGCAAAATGGTCAGGCAAATGGATCTTCAGAAGGCTTAGATTGTCAGCTCCAAGGAGCAGGGCCCTCCTATCCCTCTTGTATTGAACTGTATTGTTGCTGTATTGTCTCCCGTTATATTGTAAAGCGCTGAGCAAACTGTTGGCGCTATATAAATCCTGTATTATAATAATAATAATAATAAGGCTTGCAATAGTAAGCTCTGTGTTGTTTTCAATAAAGATTTACTCCTATGCTTACCATAGTAATTCTAATTCTAAGTTATTTAAGAAGCCGTATATATTTTTAGGTAACTGTATACAGATAAAACAATGAGCTACCTTTGGAAGAGACCACAAAGTATCTGTTAAGCATTTCCATTGATAATGAAATCATTGTTTTATTCATGGTTGGTATCTACTGTGTCAATTAGCATAAATATATTGTGGGTCCTTCCTGATCTATCTCCTCCCAGTATTAACATGCTAATGACTGGGGTGGTGAATGAAAACAAAGGATAGTTACACTGTCCAATAGGAATGGATGAAACATTCCTTTTATTAGGTAAATTAAACCTATTAGCAAAATGAATATCACCTCATGTTGGTGAGTGGGGGTAAATTGTATTTAAGGTGAGGCTTAGCTCAGTCAGTTATCAGTGTTACAGAGCAATCAGGAGAACAAGGAGCGGCTGAGATATCTCCATCTATACTCCACCATTCCAGGTATCTATACATTGTATTATAGTACAACTGAGTTACTTGTTTTTTTCTCACAGGATGGAGGGTGTAGGTCCTCAGGCTTGCCCTGAAGTCTAGGGGGAGGATGTGTGGCCTTTTGGTTCCTTCCTCCCCTGTCCCTGGGGGGTTTTCTCTTCGTGAGAGCCCCCTGACCAAGTACTGAGTGGCTGGCTTTGGTTGGCCACAAGGAACAGGTGGTCCGCCAGGCCTTTTGGCCAGGAGGACCAAATGGGAACCTTGTCCCTGCCAGGAGCTTCGTGCCCCGGGGGATCAGGGTAGAGGTCCATCCCCTTCGGGGGAAGGACAAAGCACACCCCTAAGTGCACACTTTTTTTTGTGTGGTGTTTTACACTTGCACTTTTTTGTGATTCACTTACGGGTTTTTTTCGTTATCTGCACGTTTGCAGACTTAAAAAAAAACAAAAAAAAAAAACTTGTTTAAATGTTTTTTGGTTTGACAGATGTATTTCAGCCTGAATGTGTTACAGTCCCTTTTTATTTATTTATTTATTTTTAATTTGTACATTAATTGTGTTCACAATTTGCATTTGAATTTGCTGATTGCTTGAATATTTATTGTTCACAATGCATCCCCGGGCAAAACTGTTTTCATTATTATTAGGAGGCGAAGGGTCCCTGCCTCTGTGAATTTTTTTCGCTCTCTGTAGCCATGCTGAGGAGTTATATTCTCATTTACTGACTTCATGAACAAATGTCATTAATTTTTTTTTTTATGTTTGAAGGTTTTATTGCATTACTATTATATGTTTTATCCAGTGAAAATTTTTTTTGTATGATTTATTTTTACATTTTTGCTTTCCATTGGTCATAAAATACATTTTTTATAGAGATTAGCAGAGGGGGATGTGTGCAGTTTTCCAAATCAAAAGCATACGGTCTAGGAGGACAACACTGTTCATTCACAGATATGATACAGTGAGCGGGTGTTTTCACCCTTGCATAAAAATGTTGTTAGCAGCAGGATCACAACTTAATAATACCAATGAAAATATGCTGCGCTACATATAACAAAATGCACAATACCTAAACCATATATCTATACATAAAACAGTGATGTCAAAAACAGAAATTAAGTGACTTAAAAAATATTTTAACCCCCCCTGGCGGTATTCCCGATTGTAGCTCGGGGTATACTTTCAGTACCAGAAGCGGTAACCCCAAGCTACACTCGGGAATACCCTCCAGCACTTACTTTGTCCTGCGCTCCGCGATGTCCCCCCTGCAGCGTCCCCGGCCATCTCCTCCGGCTAATGCCGGCATCCGTCTTCCGGGTTCCGTTCCCTGCGAGCGTCGGGACGTACGGGGGACGGAACTGGCTGGAAATTTAAAAATGCTAAAAAGTGACATTCACTAAATACACTAAAATCACATAGTGTTACATTACTGTATCAAACCATTTCACATACATTTTGTCCCGAGTGCTTTGTCCTGCGCCCTGCCTGCATTTTTTACTGTTCTTTCTGCCTGGAAACTGAGAAACATCCATGGCGTCCAAAAAGCGTCCCTTTAGGTCAAAAGCAGTTTTAGACCGGCTAGAGAACAGCGATAGTAAATCAGAACCACTTGCAGAATTGAGTGATAATGATTCGTGGGGGGGAAATTCCTCATCAGACACTGAAAACGATTCTGCGACTTTGCTCAGCGATGTGCGAACTTGGCGCTTTATTTCAAATTTCAGTGTTTTTGGTTTGATTATATTATTGAATTAAATTTATTATTATTATATTATTATTTTTTATGATTATTTATTATATTATAATTTATGATTTCGTGTTTCAAATTTTATCATACCCGGGATGTTTACTAGACTCTTGTTTGGACAGATTTCAGTGAGTTATTCCTAAAAATTACAGGCCTACAATAAAAAAAACAACATATTTCCATTGCAAACAATGTACCGCTTTGAGCACAGAAATATTGACATAATCAGACCACTAGGGAGGTTAAATAAAATGAATTAAATGTCCAAAAAATGAATTTGATCCAAGTCCAATAAATTAAGTATTCTCCTGTGACCCCTCCTTGAAATAATGACCACCGTGTGCATCTGTCGCAGAAATCCAGTGCAAAAAGAACCTCCACCATATATCTGCTCACCTCCAGCAGTGTGACCTCACATTATACAAATGTTTTGGTCCAACTGCACTTTTGGTCCCAATTGTATAGGCTTGGGGAGGAGCGTGCAGATGACGTCACAACGTTACCATTCATTGGAATAGTGGTAGTAGTAATCCACACATCACTCCAGGATTATCATACTTGCAGGCAATTGCAGATACACATAGGGCCCGTGCATTGCCTTGAAATATACTGTGTATAGTGACAATTTGGAGCCTTGACTGTTTTTTTCTGCTGCCGGGGATGATACTGCCATCTTGTACATAATTTGTACATTACTGGATGTTCACCATACATGGTGCAGATATGGACCTCCGGAATGTGAGTGCATTTCCTACGTTCTAATGTACAAACAGGGGCGGACTGACCATTTGGGAACTCGGGCACTGACCGAGGGCCCGGGGTCAGTAGGGGGCCCCATGAGATGCCCCTGGTACCTTTCATAGGCTTTGTTGGGTGTGGTTTGAGTGTAGGCGAGGACACACTCCCCTATTGCCCGGGGCCCTATGAGTTGTCAGTCCGCCCCTGTGTACAAATAAAAGTTTTAAAGGATAAAGCACTATTTTGAATTTTGTTTATGAGGAATGTGGCTGAGCCTGATGCAGTTATCTGGAGGGAACATCTTTTGGAGCTATCATTCAGCAATTTGATCTTCAGAGTCCATACAATTGGGACCAAATGTGCAGGTAGACCAAAACATTGTATAATGTGAGGTCACACTGCTGGAGGTGAGCAGATATATGGTGGAGGTTCTTTTTGCACTGGATTTCTGCGACAGATGCACACGGTGGTCGTTATTTAAAGAAGGGGTCACAGGAAAATACTTAAATTATTGGACTTTAACCAAATTCATTTTTTGGACATTTAATTCATTGTATTTAACCTCCCTAGCGGTCTGATTATGTCAATATTTCTGTGCTCAAAGCGGTACATTGTTTGCAATGGAAATATGTTTGGAAATGGAAAAATTCATTTTTTTAACAATTAACCTCCCTGGCGGTATTCCCGAGTGTAGCTCGGGGTAACATTTCAGTACCAAAAGCGGTAACCCCGAGCTACACTCGGGAATACCATGCGGCGCTGCTCCAGCATGTGTTCTTCACTTACCTTACCCTGCGCTTCCACGATGTGTCCCCTGCAGCGTCCCCGGCCATCTCCTCCGGCCGATGCCGGCATCCGGCTTCTGTGTCCTGTCCCTGTGACGTCGGGACGTACGGGCGGCCGCCGCCGGCGCGGGAAATTTAAAAATTTTAAAAAATGTCATTTTTTTTTTTTTCATTTTACACAGTAAAACATTGCTGTTTCAACCCATTTCACATACATTTTGTCCCTAGTGCTTTGTCCTGTGCCCTGCCTGCATTTTGTCTGTTCTTTCTGCCTGGAAACTGAGAAATGTCCATGGCGTCCAAAAAGTGTCCCTTTAGGTCAAAAGCGGTTTAGATCAGCTAGGAGAACAGCGATAGTAAATCAGAACCACTTACAGAATTGAGTGATAATGATTCGTGGGGGAAATTCGTCATCAGAAACTGAAAACGATTTTGCGACTGAGCTCAGCAATGTGCGAACTTGACGCTCTATTTCACATTTCAGTGTTTTTGGTTTGATTATATTATTGAATTAAATTTTTTATTATTTTTATATTATTTTTATGATTATTTATTAAATTATAATTTATGATTTTGTGTTTCAAATTTTATCATACCCGGGATGTTTACTAGACTCTTGTTCGGACAGATTTCAGTGAGTTTTTCCTAAAAATTACAGCCTACAATAAAAAAAATACATATTTCCATGCAAAAAAATGGTACCGCTTTCAGCACCAAAAATCTGAAATAATCATACCGCCAGGGAGGTTAATCCATTTTATTTAAAATATTTTTTGGAGTCACTTGGTTTCTGTTTCTGACATCACTTCATCATAATTTATGATTTTGTGTTTCAAGTTTTATCATACTCGGGATGTTTACTAGACTCTTGTTCGGACAGATTTCAGTAAGTTATTCCTAAGAATTACAGGCCTACAAAAAAACAACAACATATTTCCATTGAAAACAATGTACCGCTTTGAGCACAGAAATACTGACATAATCAGACCGCTAGGGAGGTTAAGTGAAAACTTTCAACTCTTTTAGCAAATCAGCCTCATGAATGATTGAGTTTACAGAATCTTCTCTAACTTTCAATTCCTCAGAAGAAAAAATGGCAATGGAGAGTACACACAGATTGAAACTCAGCTGGCTCAGCAGGGACCTGATGAATTTTTTTTTTTTTTTTGACGCTTCTTGTTTAACACAATTCAATTAGTAATTTGAATTCTGTCAAATTGCCATGCTGGAAAATTTTCATCGATTAGTGCCTGAAGCCAATTGGTCGCAGGTGCTGATTCGTGTTTTCTGACAGCGAGTCCTTGGTGTCCGAATTGTTGCAGTACGAATAATTCCTGTGTCCACCTTGCTTGTGTGGATGGAGGAATTATTCATTTTTTTTTGTTCAGCTCCCTGGCTGAAAAAAAGATGGAGAGTCGCTGGTGTCAGAATGCAATGCCATAGTGGGAAGAATTCCTCCATCCACCTCACATGTGTGAATGGAGGAATCCATTCATTTTTTCCATTCAGCTCTCCAGCTAAATGAAATTAAATAAATGTATATACCCAGCTTTAGACATAACTGGATGTTTACAAATCAGATCCCCCTGTTTCCTTGTTGTAAAATTTGAAAGTAACTAAGAACTCATTGACCCGGTGCATTCTAGAAACTTATTTTTTGGATTAAACGATAATTGGAATCAGAATTACTCAGTTTTTCTATGTCTTTACTATGAAAAGACAACCTATGGACTCCATAATGATAAACTATAAGTGTAAACTTGATGTATTATCTAGAAATCAGTAAAGTCATATATCTGTACTTCTCGTTCAGTTGTTGATATTATGAATCTGTATAACCATCAATTTTTATTTTTCATCTAGGTAAATTACCGAGCTCAGTTGTTAACTCAACACCCACTGCCTGAAAAAATCACAGCTAAACAGATCTTCATTAGCACAAAATGAGACAAGTAGGAGAAAATTGTTATCAGTGCTCTGAGTGCCAGAGGATTTTTACTTCTAAGTCAAATCTCAAAGTTCATCTGTGGACTCACACTGGAGAGAAACCATTTCAATGTTCAGAATGTGGCAAGTCCTTCTCACGAAATGCTAATCTTACTCAGCACCAGAAGGCTCACACGGGAGAGAAACCATTTAAATGTTCAGAATGTGACATGTGCTTTTCAAAAAGTAATAATCTTACTCAACACCAGATGATTCACACAGGGGAAAAGCCATTTAAATGTTCAGAATGTGACAAATGCTTCTCACGAAATGCATATCTTACTCAACACCAGAAGACTCACACTGGAGAGAAACCATTTCAATGTTTGGAATGTGGCAAGTGCTTCTCACAAAGTGGTTCTCTTGCTCATCACCAGAAGATTCACACGGGAGAAAAAACATTTATATGCTTTGAGTGTGGCAAGTGCTTCTCATGACATTATTTTCTCATGATACACCAGAGGATTCACACAGGAGAAAAGCCATTTAAATGCTCAGAATGTGGCAAATACTTCTCAAAAGTGATCATCTTACTCAACACCAGAAGATTCACACAAGAGAGAAACTGTTTAAATGTTAAGAATATTTCAAGTGTGTCTCACAATGTGCTTGTCTTACTCAACACTAGAAAATTCACATAGGATAAAAAATATTTTCTTTAACCCCTTGACGCCAAGCGCGCGCAAATATGCGGCCTCTTGGCGTCTGGGCCCTGAAGCCGGGAGGCCACATATTCACGTGCCATTAGAAAATACATATGTGCTGAGAGCGGGTGCCCTGCGTGCTCCCAGCAAATATGCCCGTGACTCACGGAAAGGCCCCGATCTCCCCTTTCGATAGGGAACTATCCCGTAAGGGTGGATCACGGCGGTCACATGACCCTAAAACCCCATGACGACTCCCAGCTTCTGAAACTCTTAAAGGGCCGGGAGGCACCAGTGCCAAGGGGTTAAATACACACCAGAGGATGTACACCACACTGGAGAAAAACATTTCAATTTCAGAATATGGCAAGTGCTTCTCACACAGTTCCAGTCTTACTCAACACTAGAGGATCCACCTAGGAGAAAAAATGCTATTTAGATGTTCAAAATGTGGCAAGTGCTCCTCACTCAAATTCCAGTCTTACTCAAACACTCCTAGTCTTACTCAACACTAGAGGATCCACCTAGGAGAAAAGCTATTTAGATGTTCAAAATGTGGCAAGTGCTCCTCACACAATTCCAGTCTTACTCAACACTAGAGGATCCTCCTAGGAGAAAAAGCTATTTAGCTAGAGTATTTAGATGTTCAAAATGTGGCAAAATGTGCTTCTCACACAGCTCCAGTCTTACTCAACACTAGAGGATCCACCTAGGAGAAAAACTATTTAGATGTTCAAAATGTGGCAAGTGCCTCTCACACAGTTCCAGACTTACTCAACACTAGAGGATCCACCTAGGAGAAAAGCTATTTAGATGTTCAAAATGTGGCAAGTGCTCCTCACACAATTCCAGTCTTACTCAACACACTAGAAGATCCACCTAGGAGAAAAGCTATTTAGATGTTCAAAATGTGGCAAGCGTTTCTCTAAAAAGGGGAGAAATTACTCAGCACTAGAAAATTCAACCAGGAGAGACGCCATGTGGAAAATGTGACAAGGATTTCTCATAGACACCACATCCTAAGCTATATGAAGTTATCCACAGATAGAAGCCATATTCATGAATGTGATAAATATTTAAAATGTAAAAAAAAAAAATGAATCCAGCTTTAAAAGTTTCACAAAGGAGATAGGGCATTGCACAAAGTAGACGATAACTGACAAGCCCTGATCACTGGATAGGCCATACAGGACTCATAATAGGGAACCATAGTCTCAAAGATGTAACTGATTACTTATTGCTGTATTAAATGACAGCAATTCCTTTTCATGCACACATAAAATATATTTAATATTCCTTTTCCATTTTATATATAAAAAATTGAGAATATTGTAGCCATGAAAAAAATTTCATTTGTTTAATATAATTTTAGAGAATAGCAAAACTGCAAATATGTAAAAAAAAAATGCAGTTATTGAACTGGATACCAGAATATATAAAGCTCCATGCACACGGGCATTTTAATAACGCTGGTAACGTTAGCTGTGTAAAGTCACGTTAAAAACAGGAGTTTTTCATCGTTTTTAGCGTTTTTGTATTAGAGTTTAGTGGCGTTTTGCCACTTTTTTTCGAGTTTGGAGTTTTTAGCAGTTTTTAGAGTTTTTTTTGACCAATAGTTTTTGTGAAAAACCATCCAAAAACTGTGATTTACTGAGTTTTAACATGTTTTTTTGCCACATTTTTCAGCATTAGAGCATTTTC